TGAGTGAGCCTTGAGTCGGTCAGGATGGAAGTCCGCTCCTGAGCAGAGTCTTGACTGCCGCCCTGCCGCTTTAACCGCTGCACCGCGAGGCTCCTAAGGAGAGTGGGTTCCCTGGCGGACAGAGTGGCCGCAATCGGTTCAAAGTGAAGGCAGGCAGTGAGAAGGTAGAGGCTGTCTGAACGACAGCCACCTGTCAGGGATGTTTCCACGCCCTCCCCTATCCCACCCTGGTCTTTGAGCAGAAGGTCGGGTTGCCTGGGGAGTAGGCAAAGGGGTACAAAGGGGAGGATCGGCCGCAGCCTACCAAGGGGCCAGTTTCCAGAGCATCACTGAGCTGGGATTGCTGGGGTATCTGGAAGCCATCGCCCCTGCCGAAAACAACGCTTGGTGGGTATCGAAGGAAGAGAGGCGACTCAGAATCATTTAGCAGGGATCAGCTTTGTCTCCTGAAGCCTCTCTTTTCCTTTCTCCTGTTCCTTAACTTCACGCACTTAAAGGCAGGGTCCATGATACTCCCAGCTTGTGGAGGAAACCGTGAGATACCCTTAAATTTAGCTGCCAGGTGAACTTTAAAATCTCCCCTGCTGCCCTGATCTGTCTCAAGTGTCAAAGGGCTCCTGCTTTTTCCCTCAAAGTCGCCCCAGGAAAGCTTCCTGCACAGCTCTGGGCGCCTCTTTTCGAGGGTGCCAGCGCCCGCATCGGGGACGGATGCCAGCCCAAAGCTGAAGAGCAGCTTGAGGCTCGTTTCCAGCCCTCCCGGCAGGACGGGACGAGGCTCCTTTCTCTGATGCCTCCACGCCGCCGCCATCCGTGGCAGGTGCTTGAGCTGGCCGAGACGAGCCAAGGAACAAAACGGGGATAATCCCAGAGGAAAACAGCCTGCCTCCCTCCAGGTCCCGGGGCTGCCCGTGGCTTTCCAACCTGTTGCCTGAGCGACAAAGAGGGCGCAAGAAAAGAGCCCAGGCAGGCGCGGGGTCAAAGGAAGCGCCACAACTTGGGGAAGGCGCTTCTTTGCCTCCTCGGTCCAATCCGCGTTTGGTGGCAACTCTTTTGGGCAAACTCATTGAGGAAAAGGAAGGAACTGAGCTGGAGATCTATTTGCAAGAACCGAGATACAGTGGGAAAGCGGGCCGGAAGGGACCGGCGGCCATCAAGCCCGGCGGCGTCTCTCTCCCTCGCCCGCACCGCGCCCGGCCCGACAGGGAGGGGGAGCCGGAGGGGGAGCGCCTCTGCCTCGACCAGGTTCGACAGGCTCCGCACCCTTGCGCGGTGTGGGCTTTGGGGGGGGGTCTCCAGGCTTTGGGAAATCCTGGCATGATGTCTGGAGGCAGCTTCTTCTCTCCGCCTCCGCGCGCCATCTCAAGGTCCCACCCCCAACTCGCTGGGACAGGTGTCGAACCCAGCCGGTCCTTGACATCCGCCGCCTCAGCCTCAGGCTGGGTCCCAAGCGAACTGCGGCCGGGCCCTAAGACAGACAAGAGCAAGGCAGAAGGCCGCCATCCCCCCCCCCCCGCCCAGCTCAGTCGGCGGGACCCATGTCGATCAAAGTAGGACTTGCTCTGAAGTGGGGATCGGGGAGGGAAGGATGATCGCTGCCCTGAAAGACAGGCGGAGCTTCCATCCTTGGGAAAGTTAGGTCGTTCTGGAGTTTTGGGCTGACTTTGTGAAGAGGATTTTTTCTCTTTCCTCTAGACTAGAGTACTCAAAATTAGACTTTCATTAAGAAGGAAGCAGTTGTGCCCCCCCCTCCGCTTCTCCTATAGGCACCCAAGAGGCCTTTTCGTCCGGAAAAAGCACCCCACAAAGACGTCTGGGGCAGTTAAAGAGGGGATGCCAAGCTTTTCTGACGATCTGGCGGGGTGGGTGCCTCGGCTAGTGCGATGGGACGCCGGAGGGTTCCAAGAACTTCCGCGCGTCCTGCGGACCGTTGCCCCCCCCCTTCCGTCCCTCCGCCCTCCTGAGAAGGGTTCCTCAGGCCGCCCGAGGTGGTGTAAAGGGGCGGCGGCGGCTGGGGCCATCAAGACGACTCCTCTCTGTTTCTTTCACAGGTGTACCCGCCCCCAGACCGGGAAGACTGTCCGCAGATTCTCAAAGGCAACCCTCCCTTGGCCACCGCGTACCTCTGCACCCCGGACAGGAACGGTAAGAACCAGCCACCTGCCGAGGGAGAGTCGTGACTGGAGCGAAGAGCCACCTCTTGACTTTTCGCCTCTTCGGGGGGGGGGGCCTGAAGACATTCCCACACCCACGTTTTACTTTGTTTTGGGTTCCTCCTTTCAGACAAATCTAGTTTTTACACCGTATATCCGAGCCTTACGTCAGCCACCGCGGTCTACCCACGTTTTACTTTGTTTCGGGTTCCTCCTTTCAGACAAATCTACACCATCTATCTGAGCCTTACGTCAGCCACCGCGGTTTCTGCAATACTGCTTTGGGCTTTTCCTTCCTTTACCTTAAGTGTCACAAATGCAGTCTTTTTTGGAAGGCAGTGTGATCCCTCTTCCTACTATTGTTTAATGATCACCCCAGTCACCCCACTTTCCAAAATGCTCGAACCCACCGAAAGGACTTCAGAGGGAAGCCTTTCTCGCCCTCCCCTGTCTCAGCCCCCCCTCCCCGCCTTCTCTGCTACCCCGGCAGGGCCACATCCGGTCCGGTCCAAGGACAGGCGCTTCTGTTTGCCCCTCCCGGACCTGGGCAGGAAGCGGGCGGACGGGCGGGGTGGGGCAAGAAGAGCCTCCCAAGCAGCAAGCGCCTTTCCTCCTGCACCAGGCGATTAGGCTGTCCCCTAAGACGGCTTTAACGAGGACTTTGTCCTCGTTAATTATGTAATTAAGGATATATCAGGCTCATACTTTCGTTACTTGTGCTAGAAAATCGGTTTATTCCCTCTAAGACCCAGATAAAGAAGACAATCACTCGACAGCTGAGGATTTGGAGAGCAAGAAATCCTATCAGAACCAAAGGAGCGCCTCCCAGTCCAGCCCAGCTCACGCCGAGCGAGGTAACGCCAGTGCGAGCGGCGGGAGGGGAGGGGAGGGGGCGGCCAGGCGGGCCCCGGCCGGGGAAGGGAGGCCGCCAGGGAGGGAAGCGGCCCGGCCGCTCTCGCAGGCGACCCGGCTTGCTGCAGTTCAGTCGGCCCGAGACGTCAGTCTGGGCAGATCTGGCCCTAATTTGCGGGGACGCCCCCGATGGGGCGCCTGTTGTCACGGAGTGAGCGTTGATCATAAGGCCTTCTTGGTCAACTGAGGGGCGGGGGCAGGAGGGAGACGCGTTGAGTGATGCTGACGCTTAGGAAATGATGCCTCGTCTGACTTGGGAGGGACAGCTGGTGTTCCGTAGCCCCGAAAACGACACTAGTACTAGGGCAAGATAGCTATAAAGGGAGGAACAGCGTAGCACCTCGCCCCTCCGATACCACGAGTTCAAAATCCACCTACGGAAAAGTGGCCCGAAGTTGAGCAAAAGTTCTGGCTAGGCCTCAGGGAGAGGACGTGGTCAACCTCTGGCCACTTTTCTGCAGGCTGGATTCCAATCGAGAATCTCTTAAGATCCATTGGTATCAATGAGTAAGATCCGATTTCACTGTGTTTCCTCCAAGTCCAGGTCCTGCCGGTGGAATGTGGCTGTTTTTAGGCATGTTCTGTGAACAGAAGGTTGTTGAGGCGGAGGGGAGCTTGCCCTAAGATTCCTCCCGGTCAGGGCAGGCGTCGCTCCGGGAAAGAGCAGGATCGCTTTCAGCGTAAATCCTGCCTTGGGCTTTTTGATGAAAGGAGTGGAAAGACTGAGGTTTTAGCCCTCGATTTGGAATTTGCTTTAAAGAAGGAAACTTGTTCCACACATCTGGCCCTGTATTTTGGAACTTACATGTTTCTTCTGCACCACCCCATCTCTGGAGGGCCTGAAGAAGACTCTTGCGGAGTAAAAAACAAACAAACACTGTCTTCTGTTGTGTGGGTGCGTTTTTAGTAGCCAGGTATCACCCACCCTTGTGTTCGGATTACAAAGTCTTTCTTTCTTTCTTTCTTTCTTTCTTTCTTTCTTTCTTTCTTTCTTTCTTTCTTTCTTTCTTTCCTTCTTTCCTTCTTTCCTTCTTTCCTTCTTTCCTTCTTTCCTTCTTTCTTTCTCTCTCTCTTTCTCTCTCTCTCCCTCCCTTCTGTTTTCTTTTCTTTTCTTTTCTTTGGATAACCTAAAAAGCACATTCTTTCCCGGGGCGGAGCGTCTTGGGAGCACATTCCACCGACCCTGACCCCCTAGAGAGTTACCTGCGAGGAAAGGCAATGGAGTGTTCCTTTGCAGACCTCCTTTGCTTCCACTGGGCTGCGGCCTAGAGAGACAGACATCCTCTCCCCAAATACATCTTATATGCTTTACTGCAAAAGCGTAGGAGGGTGTGGGGCAAAGAAAGACAACTATCCATCCTGAGGGGACTGGACAAGTTTAAACCAGTGCTCAGTAATAAACAGCAGCACCCGCCCCCACCCCACCCCGTCCGAAAATAAGGCGAAGCGCCAGAGAGACTTGAGACTCCAGTAACAGGCTGTTCCTCCCTACAGCTTCAGGTAAATAAATATTTAGTGGAAAGAAAAAGATGGAGCAATTACCAATCAAGGGCTCCTTAAAGCGGAAGGGCTCCTAATCCTTGAGCTTCTACCTGCCTCTTTCCATGCCGTTTTGTCATTTCGATTATAAATTTTACCCAGGGTTTCACGATTCAGCACCGGCGGTTTGTGTTGCAATCCCACTCTCCCTCCCTAAATTCCGTTTTATGTAGTTGATGCAAAAAGCAAGTTTCCTTCATCTCCTCACCGCGCTGTTTCGGCTCTTGGCTTCTCCTCAAGTCATCAGCCTTGTCCTAAATCCACATACAGGGACCGAATCCTAAATTGGTTTACACAGAAATAAGTTCCCTGGAATTCAATGGCACTTTCTCCTCTGTAAATCTATGAGTTGCAGCTTAACTGAAAATGCCTCAGGAGAGGTTGGCCACAGGCCAATGT